CAACAATGATTCAGTTTGGTATATAGACAATTTTCTGATTCACATATTTTATAAAACACCCAAACTGACAACAGTTGTGTTATACTTGGTTATCAATTTTCATGTTGCACTGAATTAAAAATATTTCAGAAAAACTGACTTTATTTTCTTTTCTTCCATCAAAAAGCAGGATACCACACATACCTACTTTACAAGTTTGTTTTTCTCTCCCCCAAACGGGGCCATTCCAGTATAAGTATTTGTGGTTGAGTGTATGTGACAATGGCGCACTGCCTTGAAGTCTTTTGTGCAAAGAGGTGAGAAACTACCAGAAAAAGTGAACACCTGGTTGTCTTAATTAGTGGTGGCATCAAGCAGAGAGCCTGTCTATATAAAACTGCTTGTCTCTGCTGACTTTCTGCACTAATTTGTTCTATCTATGACAATTTGAAAAGAACTTTCCTTACCAAGGACAAAAGTATTGACTGTGTGCTCTGTCAGACTGTATAATAGCTCTCTCAAAATAAAAACTGAAATCACTCCCTATGTCCCCATGCAATCCTGCTTCAATTTCAAGATGTCTTCAGATGTTTTTGTTTGCATACAATGCTCCATCTGCACCTTAAATTCTATCAAACTTAATCAAAGATGAAATAGTTTAGATTTTTTTTGGGAGGGTAGCTTTTTTTGTTCATTTTCCAATCCCTTCTCTGGAGCTGTTCTTGCTTCTCTCCTTCTCAGTTCTGCCAACCTATCAGGCTGCTTTATTGATTCCATCACAGGATTATCTTATTCAACATGGAGAAGTCTCGAGGAAGGTGCTTGTCGTAGCAGATACATTATTGATTAGTTTACCTGGGCCTACTTTTGACGCACATATACACACAGAAACACAGCAGGAAAAAAAAATGCATCTTCACATATATATATATATATATATATATATATATATATATATATATATATATATATATATATATATATATATATATATGATGTGCCTTTTCTAATATTACCATACATATACCTTCTTCCTTATCTCAATTTTCTGTTATTTGCAGGATGGCCAGTCCAGGACAGTACGGCAGTTCCAGTTTACTGATTGGCCAGAGCAAGGTGTGCCCAAATCCGGAGAGGGATTCATTGATTTTATCGGACAGGTTCATAAAACCAAGGAGCAGTTTGGACAGGATGGACCCATCTCTGTACATTGCAGGTAATGTTACTTATTGTGTTTATTGCAAACAGTTGAAAGAAGGTCATTTGCACGCTTGACAATTTTGAACCTTTGAAAACATCCATTAAAGTAACTATTCAATAAAAAAAGATAATTTTAAAAAGAAATTATATCTTTTATTTAGTTTCCCTTTTGGAGGGCTACCAGGAACAGTCCTTATCGTATGCAGTAAATGGCAAATATTTCATGCAAAAAGTAAAAAACTGATTTATTTACAGTACAGTTTATGCAAAATGACTTTTTTTATGGTATCCTAGCATACTGAAAGCACAGCTTCAACATTTATTTGCAGTGTCATATCTAAAAAAAAAAAAGCTGATGTTAATATACCTGGAGCATAAAGGGAATAATTAATCCTTAATTCTTTTTAAATGTAAACTAATGTTTTACCTTTTTCATCTTAAAAATGCCTAAATAAGACTAATAATTTATTTTCAGTATACTCTTATGCAATGCTTATATTATATTATTTTTAAAACCCTGATATATCTGACAAACAAATACCAACATTTATACAGAAGCATTAGAAATCACTTCCATATTTAGTGAAAAACCCTCAAGTTAAATCTCTTAGCTCCCTTGAAGATTTTACTTTTAAAAGTTTTATCCAGGTTCTTCTTTTCCTAGAAAAAAGGTAAACCAAGGTGACTGAATTTTTTAAAAACTGTCAAACCTTAAGGAGTTTTATAATGTGTTTTGTTTTGTTGGAGAGCTCCTCCTGCAGTGCACCTCTACCTTCAGGATCAGATATGATTCCTCCTCTCCTTTTTAACTCTGTGGAACACAACCTCTGCACCTTAACACGCCCTTCTCCTCTATAATTGATAAAGCTCAGATAAGGCTTGGCATTTGAAAAAGATGAGATGAATGAAAGGATAGAGCCATCTTTTTAGGTTTTATGACCATTTCATGTAGCTTTTTTTTTTATTTTATGACCTGGAGTCTAGCTTCCAAGGTAACTTACATCATTACTTGCATGCTGGATGGGAAGCAAAAACTCAGACTATCCATATTTGTTCTGATCTCAAAGAAGTTTCCTTTAAAAAGTTCTTACTTTCCAAAGCGTCAAAATGGATTTTGTATATACATCTGATTTTATATATCGAATTTCCAGAAAACAATAAAAATAATTTCCATTGTGATCTTTTGCACAATTTTTATTTGAACATTTAGTTTTGAAATAAAGCTTTGGTGACTGCATGATGGGTTGACAATATATCTAATTTAATAGACATAATCACCTTTTTGACTGGGGTGTCACACCCGTTCTTACACTGCCTTCTCATAAGCACCATTACATCAAGAAGCATGACACCAGCTTCCATGTGGTTAAATAAGATGATGTCACCTGGTGGAAAAGTGTATTCTTAGGCCTGTAATATATGTACTGTAAGGAAAGCTCCTACAAGATTCTACACATCATCTATGTGGGGTGTAGTTATTACAGGACTGGGATAATGGCTGGCGGAAAAGGTCTCTGCATATTAAATGTTTCTGTTTATTTAAAGGTTTGAGGATACTGAACATTTGAAATAAACTTCCTGTTGTCTGCAGGTATTACTCTTAGCTGATCCAATCAGATTTTAACCTTAGAATACATTTTTAATATACTGAAAATGAATGTCACAGTTGGGGACCCATCTCCATATTTTATTTGTCCAGGGCCCAGAGGGAGGCGGCTAGCTTGACACTTTCTACTGCAGTTCTAATTGGTAGCGGTATTAGAGGTGACGTTAGAAAACTATGTTTTTAAAAAATAATCACCTGCTTTCACCCTCTGAGTCAGTACTTTGTTGAGTCATGTTTTGCTGGTGGTACAGCTTCTAGTGTTATAAGATGTAATATGAATCACAGCTTTGCGCATGCAGAGACGCACATTTTTCCAATTCCCCTTACTTTTTCTAGTTCATTGAGATTAGAGAGAGAGTATGGACGTCAAATTTCAAGTTTTTCTACAATTTCTTGGTTGGGGTTAGTTCTGGAATTTGCCTGAGCCATTTTAACAGATGCATATCATTTAGTTTCAACTGTTCCATTGTATCTCTGGTCATTGGTGCTTGAGGCTGAACACTACCGTAGTCCTAAGTCTTTTAAAAACCTCTACAAGGTTTCCTCTCTGGATTGCCATGAATTGAATGCCTTTAATCTACCCAGAAACTGGAACCAACTTTAAAGTCTTTGCTGAACAAAATGATCCCTACGGCAACATGCTGCGGCCATCATGCCTCACGATGGAATTGGTTTGTTCGGGGAGATGTGCAGAGGTGATTTTTGTTCACACACTGTCATTTGCTGGGAGGGAGAAAAGTAAAAATTTTGCCTCATCTTATACAGTTTTGCTGTGTTATGCCTGGTGGCAAACTGTGAATGGGTTTTCTTTCAACAATGCTGTCTCTGATTAATGCTCTCCTCGCCCAGTCCGTCACTTTATGTGAATGGCTATGGCTTGGTGGAGTTGCAGCTGAATTTTTAAGGCACTTGATTTTTTTTTTTTTTTATTTATTTTTTTTTTTAGAGCCTTTATAGAAGGAGGATATTTTTGTATATTTTAGTGTCGTTTTTTGTTTTGTTTATTTTCGTAAAAAAATTAATTGAATTGGATACTGTGATCTGAATTACACCTTAAGGTCAATTGTTCTAATAGACAAAAATAACCTAAAATTCACTGTATGTTCACTTAGAATATGCTCAGCCAAATAACCTCATGCTTGAAGTTAAAGGTTTAGTAACCTTTCATATTCAAGAGTATTTGCAAGATGTAGGCTTAAGAAGAAAAATCTGAAGCTGGATCATATGATATTTTTATAGAGGTTGAAGATTGAATATTAAATAAGATGAATTTAGTTAATCATCCAAAGGATATGTTTTGGGGGGTTTTGATAGAGGAGGATTTTTTTTTGCTTTAGAAATACATTTCTTTAGAGTATATCTTTTTATTTTTTTTAGTTGAGTAACCACCATGCTCCCTTTTCTCTTTCCCTCCTTTTTCAAGCTTGCTTATCTCCAAGAGAAGAGCTTATGTTTTCCTTTTCTCTTACTCTTGCGTTTTCTATCACCAGACTTCCCAGTCTGTCATCTCCCTATTCCCTAATCCTCTCACTCTCTCCTCGTTCCCATCCATCCGTTCTCCTGGATCGCTTTTTAGCTCCGCCTCCTCCTCTCCTCTCCCATCCCTCTATCTAATAGGACCACATGCTTTTTGTCATTAATTGCATGATTACGCCCTGTGAATGAGAGGACATCAAATCCTCTCAGTCTGCAGTGGCTTGCTTCTCCTAAAGATTTGGATCTGGAGAGGAGGAGGTTGAAAGAGAAGTCCTGGAAAGCAGCTTTGGGTGGGCTGAGATTTTGTGCCTCATGGTGGGGTGATTGCTCTGTGTGATTAGAGTGCTATCATTTGAAATTGGGTAAAAATCATACAAGCAACTTTTGTCTACCAAACACACACAAACTTGTCAGCGAAAGAGTCTCTCTCTACAAAGTGGCATCAAAGGCAAGAAGCTGAAATAAATCTGTTGTCATATCAATTATTGTTCCATTGGTGATGTGGAAGTCATTTCACAGCAAAGCAGCTTACTGAGCCAACTCTCAAGTATTTCAGCATCTGAGTTAAGACTCGAGCTTTATTTCTGGAGACCAGCAGCAGGCTGAGTTTTTTTTTTTTTTTTTTTTTCTCCCAACACATGGAAGGAGGAACTTAATGAGACTAAATGTTCTGTATGTGTATGGGTAGGAATTGCAATCTGTGCATGTGTCCTTGAGGACTAGAATGGAGGCACATGTGTTAGTGGATCGCAGGGTTCTTGCATGCAAATTGTCTCCTTGCTGTTGTTCTGGTTACCTTGAAGCCTTTTTTCTGCTCTGGAACTTTGCTGCTGTTTAGGAAGATGGAACTAATAACATGCAAAGTTTTTTTTTTTTTTTTTTTTTTTTACCATGCAGTCTTTTTTAGATATACAATACTTATATGGAAAGGTTATATTGGAAATCCCTTTATAGGTCTTGTTTTTATACCTAAATGATGAGGACTCAAGGGAAACACAAGTCATATTAGAACACCATCAAACAGTTGATTTATTTCATTAATTATTTAAACAGTAAAAATATTATTATTTCACAAATTTATAAAAAAAAAAAAAAAAAGACATATTTCAGTTTTTGTAACTAGGGCTTGATTATGTAATGAAACACCACAAATCTGTTTCTCCTAAATTAAAAAGCATAAGGCCAATAAAAAAATTCTGTTTTTAAATCTCATGCTGTTATATCCAACAGAGCCTTATACCAGAGAGCAATTGGTACCCATCACAAGTGTTAGAGTCGGATCAATAGAAAAAACGTTAAAGGGTCCCTTCCAAGGATATAAATACAAAGTCTGCTGGAGGGAAAAACTGAAGTAAAAAAAGTGCATAGACAGCAGTAATAGACATAGCCTTAAAGGAATTGTGTAGCAAAGCCCAATCAAGTGTTTGAAGGAGATTCATAAGGTGTGAACCATGGCTAAGTGCTTCAAGAGCCACTACACTAAGATGCATCCAATACCTGTGTGATAACTGTTGCAGGCTTTGTGTTCATCCACTCCTAAACCACTGACAATGTCATGAGTGTCTTACCTATTGATAATGTCAGATATACAGAAAAAGAGTCAGTTTGCATTTCCATTGAGTTACAAGTTACCAGAGTCTGGAGAAAAAGTCAGACAGCCAACTACTAGTAAGATTTGGAGCACGAGGTTACCTTCATTAATGAAATTCATGGAAATTCTGATTAAGAGAAAGAAATGTTGCTTAAGTGATAAGTCCATATTATGTTACTACATGGATATTTCTTTCATCTGTTTTATTTCATAGTCTTGATTTTTGTGAGAAACATTATTTTGGTTTTCAGCAGTTAAAAACCATAATTAAAAAAAACAACAAAAAATGGCACTGATAAACACTTGGAAAGACCTTAATCTGTTTAAGAGAAGGATTTCCCGTCTTAAACTGAATGGCTGAAAGGATATTATGTTTTTATTCCATGAAATGCACCCATAGTTGGTTTGGTACCAATTGTGATGTCCATTAGCAATATAATTCATCTTGTTTTTTTCTCTTTTTTGTTCCTTACATCTAGTGCCGGAGTGGGAAGAACTGGAGTCTTCATAACCCTCAGTATAGTCCTGGAGAGAATGCGTTATGAGGGTGTGGTTGATATCTTTCAAACAGTGAAGATGCTCCGGACACAGAGGCCAGCTATGGTCCAAACAGAGGTCAGAAATGTTCCAAGGTGGACAAATTATGGAACAGATTTTTGTTGGTGTGAATCGGAATTAAAGTGAATTGTTAGCAATATATTAAACCTCTGGTGTTATGTTTTCTGATAATTTTTTTTCCCCTTTTTTTCAGGATGAATACCAATTTTGCTATCACGCAGCTCTTGAGTACTTAGGAAGCTTTGATCACTATGCAACGTAAAAAGCCATCTCCTCCTCTCAGAATCCTGTTGCCCCCTCCTCGCCCAACTCAATGGTTTCCTGAGCCATAGAAACTTTTCAAATTTGAAACGATGACAGCGGTCGATAATTTTACAACTGCTTGTTCAAAAAACAGGATCCTGTAGATTTTTTTTAAGCAAACAGCCAACATGACCAGAACAGGAGAAATTTCAATTGAGTCTCTAGTCACAGAAGAAAAATTCCCCATAATTTCAACTTAAGACCATTCTAAGCAACGAGAAACCATACGCCGTGGCTCAAGCTGTGGGATGGGTATCGATCCAAGTGACAGACTCCTTACTTTACCTCAAGTGTTTTAGTGTGGAGGAAGTTGTATACATTCGTGGACATTGCTCTTCTAAAATAAAAATGTCTTTGTGACACAGCGGCGACAACCAACCGATTATGAAGGAAAGTGAAGCGCAAATCAAAGAGAAGCAGATGGATGTAGCCACGACTGGGACACATGCCTGTTTTGCATGTGAAAAAAAGGAGGGCAGAGGGTTCAAGTATTTTCAACAACTATTTCATGACGGGTTTAACCTAAGAAATTGACAAATTGTGTCAACACCAATGAAGAGAAGTGGCTTTTCTCAATCAAAAACATGAAATAGAGCAAGAACACCCACATTTGGCAGTAAAAAAAAAGGAAACCTTGAGTTTTTGCACAGTTCTACTTAAATTATGTTTTGTGAAACGTTTTCTTCAATTCCAGAAAATATCACCAAACTGCCTGTTAAGTGCCAGGAGCTTTAAGAAGGGACATTCCCAGTCGTTGTCAAAGAGAAAACATCAGCACATATATAAATGCAGTTACTTTTTAGAAATGCAGAAAATCTTTAATTTAAGCCCTGTAATTCAGTAAAAGAAATCTGGATTGTTTCAAAGGGAGATGTACCCCAGTAAATTCAACATTTCACTGACCAAATCGTTCAAGGGAAAAACCCATCAATTGCAAGAATCTTCAGCTTTGTCTGTCATGGGGATGATGTAAACCTCAACTTCGACCCATGTTTTTATTTTTAACACATGGCTCTCTTTAAATCATGGCACCAAATGGCTGATGCAGAAAACATCCACCCTGAGTCCGGTGAGGAGAAAAGGCTTTTGGAACAAGGTGGATCAACCAAACAAAGAAACGTTGCCACATCTGGGGCTTTCTTTGTGTACAGTGACCAACGCTTATCATCATTGTTTGGGACTACTTTGTCTTTGAAGGACAAAAATCTATTTTTCTTTCCTTGTTTTCAGTTCTCTTTTCTGTTAAAAACAAAACATGCTGCTTATCTTGTGTATGCTGTATGTGTGACTCTTTGAAAAAGAGATTAAACAAAAAAAATGCCAGCTCTGCTAACTCCTTGCGCCTGGGTGGGCATGAAAGAAAGCACATCCACATGACTTCACTGTTCACCACTGCTTTTTTTTTCTTTCATCTGATTTTTTTCCTAGCCTCCTCTATAATTGCTCTTATCATTGTACAAGAAACTCAAGAGCAGCAAGATCGCTTGCAACGACAAAGTTGTACATTAACGTGATTGACAAATTGGCCCTAATTTTTACTATATGTGTGTTTGGTAACTGGTTGACAGAAAAAAAAAAACAAGACGCTTTGGTGTTTACCCCCTATTTTACGGACAATGACCCAGTGGGTGACACGGCCAGAGCAAGTAGCCACGACAGATCCCGATGCAAAATTTTCTCTGGTACTTGCACATCCCAAAAGCAAAAACAGAGAATAAACTCGAAACAAACTCCCCAATTCAACTGCAAAAACCTCCAAGTTTTTACGTCAAAGATGGCGCTTTGGTACATGTGAGCGAATGGATTCTCTGAGGGCTCTCTGGTGGATGTGCACAAAAAAAAGCAACAGAGCTTTGGACAGAACTGTGTGTGATCTTTTCTGAGTTCCAAAAAAGCCTTATTGTTATTGTAACACTATGAAAACATTACTGTTGTATTATGATGATTCATTTAACATGACATAGTTAGCTTTTATTTTCTGTTTTTGATTTAGTTGTTTTTTTTAACAGATGTTTGTCACTTTTTTTAATTAGCAGAAAAAAAAGAGAAATGCTTATATGTTCATATTATGTTAAAAGACATTCTATTTTTTCACCGTAGAAATGCTAATTATAACATGACCGTGTAGGGGCGCATACATATCTATATAGAGATATATGATTGTATATATCTCTATATAGAAATATATATGCCAACTTACACATGCATATATATTTAAAAGCAGAATCAGAAAATATATCCAAACAATTAGTATGAAATACATTTTTCTTGTCATCCAATTTGTTTTATACCTGTCAAATCTTGTCTGAAAATTTTTGTTTTGCTATTATTATTCTGTAATTCTGGAGTGTCTCTTTAAGAAAACTGAGGGACTGTCATCTTTTTGTTGGATCTTTCATTTTTCTCATGTCCTTTGGAATTAACTTGTACCAATGATGAAACTCTATTTTAACGCATTTTCTTCACTGTCATTAAGTTGTTTGTTTTTTTTTTTGTTTTTTTATGGTCTACAAATGTCAAAGTTTTATCGCTCTGCATTTTAAGTGTCTATATCATGCTGTACCTTGTATGATTATGTACAGACTGTAACCCTCACAATCTGAAGAAAAATCCTCTTAAAGTTCTCTTTTTTTACTTATATTTTCAGACATATTGTTGCCATTGATTTTATTAGACATCCACTATGATCTAGAGTATATGTGTAAATAAACAAATATATATAGAATATACGTATCATTTGACCCTAAAGATCTCATACATGTAGTGGGGGACACCAATGCACAGATCAAAGTTCTGCTCATTTCCAGTTTCCTGGTGTTTGTGAAGCCTCTTTTTTCCAACCTTCCACCCTCTAGCTCTGCTCCCAGGTCTTTGATTACCTTCCTTTTTTTTCTGCCTTATTTCCCATGCTAGTAGTCAAACTGGGAAATATGCCAACCTATGTTCCCGCATTCCGAATGAGGGGCAAACAAATTAGTGTCAGTGATCTACAGGTCGGATTAAACAGATACATTGGTTTTCTCTATCAATTAACTACAAAAATCATTCCTATAATGGACAAAATAACTAAAGAGGCTTTTTAAACTGACTTTTGCCCGTTTTTTTTGTTTTTTGGGCCTTGCTGTGTACAATTAGCAGAAAGCAACTATGAAAAAGGCCATACATGTTTCAATTGCCACATTTAAACTTATTGTTCTCCCTATTGCCTTGTATAAAATCACATTGTTTTAGTTTTTTTTGTTTTCTTTTAAACCATGTTTCATGATGGGATGCATAAAGAAATGAGGAATTAGAGGAAACAGCATTGGAATGCAACCAAGGATGGACTGAGACTACCAAAAACATGCTGTAAATTCCCATAGAAAAGCTTCACAATAGACTTGAATCTGTTGGACTTCACAGAGACAGCTAATAAAGGCCCGCGTCAAAATTTGAAACTGATGAAGCGTCTCAAAGCTTGTACAATGTGTCGTTCTTATGGTTTCAAGTAAAGATGCTAACTTTTGAAAAACAGCCACTAAATTTTTCTGAAATATTGTCGCTAAGTGTTGTGGAAAGGTTAGGGAGTAACAGTGACCATAAAAAAAAAATAAAAAAAAAAAGTCATATTGAGAAGGACAACACTTAAAGTAAACGGTACATATCGACAAAGAATCCATAACACAGCAAACCATTTTCCTTTATATGATGGCCAAGTGCTACCACTTTCAAACTGTTACTTCTAACTGAAACAATGATTGGTTTAAAGCCACTGTGTATGTAGATATGTTGACTTTGTATTAAAGAAATGTTGTCTGAAAACCGCTCTGTAAGTTTTTATCGTTCTGTAAAGGTTTCTTCCAACCATTTATCTCTGTAATGTATGCAACAGCAACATGCATCGACAGCATGTACAGTGGTAATCAAATACATACAAACACCAACTTAAAATACACGCATTCTTTATGTTTTACGTTAAAATTGGACTAAATTTCAGTTGACTTATGTCAGTTAAAATTTCAAAATATAATATTTTTTTGTTTAATTGCCACAAAAATGACATCTACTTTTTTAGACCTCGATTTTATATATATGTATATATATATACATATATATATAAATACATTTCAACATTTTCCTTCTCAGAACTTGTCTAGCCAACTTATGGTTGCTTAATACATTTCTTTGGGACTGACACCAATGTGAGAGTAAGTCCAAGATATTTACTTGTAGAACATGGTGTCTTCATTTAACTGGGATTCTGTAATCCCAGTTATATATAATCTATTAGGAGTGTACAAAGTCAATAAATACCTTACATGCCTTAAAAACCGCAATTAAAAACAAATACAATTTTTGTGCCATTCAGCAAAAACAAAAAACTTTACCTATTCTAACTGATCTCAAATATCTTTATTCCTATTTAATGTCAGACATAAAGATTTGATTTTATTATGTGTCGTTTTTAATCAAAACCTAGTGTAACAATAAAGAATTAGAGTGCAGTGTAAAAAGAAATGAAAATGTTTGCTAAACACTAGGCAACTGTTGCATAGTTGCTTTTTAGCCACATACAGTATGATGGTACCTGTTGTTCATGCTTTGTTGCCTATATGTGCCTTTTTAGGAAGAAGTATTTTCAGTACCATCTGCTATTTGATAAGGACATTGACGCACAAGAGAGTCACATCCCCTGCTGTGTCATCAAACCTTTATTTAGCAAAATCCTTCTCGGTGTGGACAGATTGTTGTAATTTAACAGCATCAGTTTTTTTAAGCCTCTTTCTTGGATATTATAGTATTATTTTATATTAACAGTAATCTATAGATTTCTAGGCTGATATGTCAATGTCTGACAACAATGTAGATATGTGCTACATTTTTCTCTAGATTTGTTCACTGGATTATTTGTGAAGAGAGAAATATTACCTCAGTAGATAATATTACCATAATCGCTTAAGGATAATGGCTTTTGA